CTTTAAAAAAGAAAAAAAAACCACGGAGAAAAAGAAAGGAAGGTTAGGCTGACATCTGTGACTGGATAATGATGAGTAGCCTCTCGGCTGTGCTTAAGCCACAAAGCTGGCGTGGAAGCGAGTTAAGAAGAAAGAGAGAATAGATGAAAAAAAGGGGGGGTTTAGAAATAACACCGTCCCGGAGATGATTTTTCATGAAGGGTGCCCCCACCCCACCCGGTTGTCGCCGTGGCACGATAATCCTCTTTGATCTGGGGTCTTAATTGTCTGCTCGAGATAAATGGGCAATGAACGATGATCAGTTTCATCTTTTTTCCTTCTGTTTTGCTTCTCATTTAGAGGAGGAATAAATTATCTTTTTCTCTATCCGCAGAAGAAAGTCGTTTCTTTTTTCCAAACCGGGCCGGGGGAAAAAAAAATCGCTTTCTTTTTATGAAAACGTTTCTCATTATTTCAAACCTTCTCGGTTTTGATAAAGCGTTTGCTCTTTTAGGGGAAATTGTAATCGGAAATGTAAATGTGTGTGTATTTGTGTGTGTTTGTGTGTGTGTGTGTGTGTGTGTGTGAGACAGGAAGGGGGGGGCTAATGAGATGGACAGCATCCTTGCAGAATCTAAATTGTAATTGTAAAATCCTCCAGTATTTCCCCCCACTCTTTAAAGAAAAAAAGGAATTTAAGACTACAAAATAGTTAGGTTCGCCTTATTAAAAGCAACTCTCGTTCATCTCAAGTCCATTTATTTTGTCTTTTTTTAAAAAGTGGTTTAAAATCCAATGTAGGGTGTTGAAGGGAACTCGAGAGATTGATTTCAAGGTGTTGGAAAAAGGCGTGCGGAGTGAAAAACAGAGTTTCTAGTCCCTTTTACCTAAACACACATCCCTCCTTTCAGACTTTTAAATGCATACTGCAAGAGGAATGGAAAATACGTGTGCAAAAAGATTGCCATATGAGGTAGACGTGGTTATTGGTATAGTAAAAGCCTCCTGTTAAGGTGGGGAATCACACAATGCAAAGGGTTCAACCACTGAAATTATTTAAATTACAATTTTGTAATTCATCAGGCTCTTTATGTGCGGCTTTGCTTTTCAGTGTTCGGGCCACTGAAAAGCGTTAAAATAATGTTCAGCCCCTCGACTATCGATAGCGATATTCAAAGCTTGAGAAAAGGACACTCCTCCCCCCCCCAAGAAAAAGGAAGTGAAAAGAAGCGAATGAATTCAATCTCATTTTCTCCTCTGACTTTAATTTGAGGCTTTAATAACTCCACTTGCCAGAGTAGCAATTGAAAAAGTTGATAAAACAAGAACTCTTGAGGTTTTTAACAAGGGCTGCCTCCCTTCTCTTATTCTTTTTTTTTTCCTCCCTGAGAGAAATGTAATCCTGTTGGCTCAATGACTTCATTAGCAAAAGTAAAAATAAAAATGGTTTGAAATGTCACCTTTTCCAAACTTAAATATTATTTGAAAATATAGCTGTTTGGCTCGCGGATTGCGGTTTTCAATTTTTAAACTTCTCCTATTGTACTTTATTTGCAAGTTTATTGTAGATGGAGGACTTATAAAAGGAAGGAAGGAAAGAAGGAAAAGAGAAAGGAAGAAGGAAAGAAGGAAAGGAAGGAAGGAGAAGAGAGGGAGGGAAGGAAGGAAGAGAAAGGAAAAGAGAAAGGAAGAAAGGAAGGAGAAGAGAGAGAGGGAAGGGAGGGGGAAGGAAGGAAAAGGGAAGGAAGGAAGAAAAAGAGGAAGGAAGGAAAGAGAAAGAGGAAGGAAGGAGAAGAGAGGGAGGGAAGGAAGGAGAAGAGAGGGGGGAAGGAAGGAGAAGAGATGGAAGGGAGAAGGAAAGGAAGGAAGGAAAAGAGGGAGAAAATAAGGAAAGAAAAGAGAAAGAGGAAGGAAGGAGAAAGGGAGGAAAGGGAAGAAGAAGAGAGGGAAGGAAGGAAGAGAGGAAGGAAGGAGAAGAGGGAGGGAAGGAAGGAGAAGAGAGGGAGGGAAGGAAGGAAAGGAAAGAGGAAGGAAGGAGAAGAGGGGGAGGGAAGGAAGGAGAAGAGAGGGAAGGGAGAAGGAAGGGAAGGAAGGAAAAGAGGGAGAAAGTAAGGAAAGAAAAGAGAAAGAGGAAGGAAGGAGAAAGGGAGGGAAGGGAAGAAGAAGAGAGGGAAGGAAGGAAGGAAATCAAGAAAGAAGGAAGGAAGAAAGGAAAGAGAAGGGAAGGGAAGAAATGACATGGTCTTCATGCCATGCGGCAGTAAATCTCCCACAGATTCTGTAGCATTTATTTCCTTTTTTCCCCCTCTTCCAATTCTTCCACTGTTCCTTCTTTTCCTATGCGCAAAGCATTGTTTTATGCATCCTCCATCTGCTTCCTTTGCTACACCATGACGGCCTGTCAGTATCTTATATCACGATCAACTTATTGGAGAGTCTTCATTTCAGCAGGACTTTCCTTGAGACCATTTGCTTCTTGGTTGGGTCTTTGGATGATTTGGGAGTTTTGCTGCCCGGGATTGAAAAAAAGGATGAGATTATGAAAAGCTGAACAAATCGATCACTCCCATGGAAAAGGGAGATGTTTGGATGAAGGTTGGCCTCTCAAGAAAGCTGAAGATGGCCTGGCCCTTCAAGCAAGATGGGCCAAAGGAGAGATCAACTTAAGAATTGACCCTCACTCTGTCAAGGGCCTAGGGCTCCATCTAAACCTCCGTGCTCCCTGTAACAGCATTGCCAAAAAGACATTAAAAGTTGTTAACCTAACCTTGCAATGCTTCTTCTCCGGTAACATTGTACTGCAAACTAGGGCATACAAAACCTTTGCTAGACCAATCCTCGAATACAGCTCGTCTGTCTGGAATCGGACATTAACACAATCAAGTGATTCCAGAGGTATTTCACGAGAAGAGTCCTCCACTCCTCGGCTCACAATAGAATCCCTTACGCCACCAGGCTTGAAATTTTGGGCTTGGAGAACCTGGAATTACGCCACCTGCATAGTAAACAAAATTATCTGCTACAACGTCCTACCTGTCAGTGACTTCTTCACCTTCAACCTCAATAATACGCAGGCAAACAATCCGATACAAACTCAAGGTCAACCGCTCCAAACTGGATTGCAGAAAATGCGACTTCAGCAACAGAGGGGTCAATGCCTGGAATGCTCTTGGAGTGTATAGAATAGAGTAACAGAGGTGGAAGGGACCTTGGAGGTCCTCTAGTCCAACCCTCCTGCTTAGGCAGGAAACCCTACACCACTTCAGACAAATGGATATCCAGCATCATCTTAAAAACTTCCCGTGTTGGAGCATTCACAACTTCTGGAAGCAATTTGTTCCACTGGTTAATTGTTCTCACTGTCAGGAAATTTCTCCAGGAAGTTCTTGGTTGCTTCCCTACCTGACTTCGTTGTTGCATCCTCAACCCCCCCCCCCAGCTTCAACCTTAAATTGTCTACCATGGACCTCACCCCAGTCCTCAGAGGTTCATAAAAAGGGGCGTGCATAAGCGCACCAGCGTGCCTACCATCCCTGTCCTACTGTCCCCATTTATCTGTACTTATTTCCTGTGTTCATGTCCATGTTTATACTGATACCTGTTGTCTTGTACATGTTTGACAAACTAAATAAAATAAAAGATAGGTAGGTAGGTAGTAGGAGTGGGTTTCTCGCCCCGTTCCAACCGGTTCGGTTGGAACAGGGCCGGCGGCGTCCTCGTGCACGCACGCAGCGCACGCATGCATACTAGCGTCTNTATATATATATATATATATATATATATATATATATACACACACACACATATGTGTGTGTGTATGTATGTATGTATGTATGTATGTATTTAGTGTCACAACCCCTGGTATGCCCAAACTTTGAGACCAAGTACATGCACTTTGGATACAAAAATGTTAACATTATCAAGTTTTTCAAACCACCCACCATCATGGAACAGGTTATGTTATAATCCTGGGCACAACACACACACAACAAAACTTCTAAAAAGTTAGCCATTTATTTTAGTTGCATCTTTTAAGGAAATTACACCATATAAAAGTTTTTAGATGATGAAAATTATGATGTGACAATGAGAAACTTTAGAAGACAGATTTTGTTCCTTCCAATTTAAATCCCAAGAGATCAAGCTTACATTAAAGGATTTTCTCTATGTATCGGACTTATTGGGGCCACATTCTGAAGAGGAACGTAATGGATACGATATGAAGTAGCTCATAAGCAGCTTCCCTGTTCATTTGATAGCATCTCATGGAAGTTCAATCCATAACATTAATCTCCAGTGCACGGCTGAGCAACCAGCAGCCTTGAAGAGGTTATTGGACTGCAACTTGGCTCATCCTCTATCTGTTCTGGTTAGGGCTTATAAAAGATGACATCTGGAGAGCCACTTCTGGACCACAGTTTCTCTAGCATTCCAAGTGTATATATTAACATCTTTTGCAGAGCTCAGGGACTCTTACTGCTTTATAATTTTTTTTTAAAATCTGTTTTCAGATGCACCATGGCGTCAATGTTTTTAGCAATATCAACTATCAACTGATAATTCTATGCCCCTGAGATACAGGTTAGTCCTGCACTCACGGAAGTTCATTTAGTGACTGTTCAAAGTTACAATGGCACTGAAATAAGTGACATGACCGATTTTCAGGCAACCATTGCAGCGTTCCCCATGATCACTTGATCAAAATTTAGGTGCTTGGCAACCGACTCATATTTATGACGGTTGCACTATCCTGGGATCCCCTTTTGCGACCTTCTGGTGAACAACACGGAAGCCAGATTCACTTAACACACAAATGCAGTGATTCCCTTAACAACTGTGGCAAGAAAAGTGGTAAAATGGGAAAAACTCACTGAACAGCATAAATTTGGGGCTCAACGGTGGCCATAAGTCAAGGACTACCTGTACCGAGGACCAGTTTTTTTTTTAAAAAAAAACCCTCACTTGTCCCACATCTATGGTTCTCCAAGCCACCTCTGGAATAAAGACAAAGAATCACTAACATGAGAATGCCGTGAGCACGCTCCAAAAGCTTGCTGCTAGTTGAATTCACAAATATCCCGTCTTTGTCAAGGAAACTGCTGGGGCTGGAGAGTCGGCTCTGTCGGAGGCCCATCTTGCTATTCCACACGCCGTAGGCATCGCTGCAATGCAAGGAAATCGTACGCTTTTATTTTTTAAAACTTTTCGCGGAGAACGGGAAAGAAAAAAATGTCAGTTGCTGGAAAGGAGAAATGCAGCAAGCAGCACAGTCCCGGCATCGTAACAGAGATGTCAAACTTCTTTGGCTGCCTGATGGATCCACTTACCGCTGGCTTTTCTCGTTAATCGTGTTAACTCCCTGCAGGTCAGAAAGGGGCGTTCTCGGCCGTTTCCGAGCAATACCTGTAGCAGCACATCAATAAAAAAGAAATGTAACGTTGCATTTTGCGTGGAAGGAAATTCAACGGATCACATTTGAAAAGGACTGTTGCAATGTAGGCTAAAAATGGAACATGCTGGGAACAGGGAGACAATAGGATTTTATTATGGTGTGAGGTGAAGTGATATATTTGACAGGCTTCTAAAAATAAAGGAAACCATTTTCTACTCGGTTGCCATAAAAAAAGAGAGAGACTAGTAATTCTATATACGAGCCATATTTTAACTGGAAGGTGCAGATCCCATTTTTTCAGGGGCAAAAACCAAGGGGATTTTGTCAGTCAAGTCGCCTGGCATTAAAATCATTGGCTGTCATAATTAAGATACCAGTTTCTATGGAGATTCTCAGTCGTCCAGGTGATGATTGTCTCAAAGGTGCTTTTTCAAAAGGCAATTGGACTTTCTTGGTTTTTGCTTGAAGATGGTTCGCTTCTCATCCGAGAAGTTTCTTCAGTTCTGATTGAATGGTGGAGGATGGAAGGATTTATATTCCTTGCAGTCATCTGGTCCTTGATGCAGTCATCACTTGCTTGCAGATGACTGCAAGGAAAATAAAGTCTTCCATTCTCCATCGTTCACTCAGAACTGAAGAAGCAAAACGTCTTCAAGTAAAAACCAAGAAAGTCCAGTTTCCTTTTGAAAAAGCATATTTGGGATAAGAAATACAAGTTAGAATGTATTTTTAAAAAGCTCTTAACCATGATCAGAATATCTGAAAATCGTTTCACTTTCCCAAGTGCCTATATTTGTTAATCATCTGGGAAATTCAGACTATGTGACTGTAATAACTTTTTGCAAAATGAAGCCTCTGACTGCTGCAAACAACAGCAATTTTTCTGGTGCCTTTTTAAAAAAAACATGCTATGATTCATAGCTGCTGCATAGTTTTAGCAACCAGAATCTAACAAGGACACTTTGCTATTTTTGGTCCCTTTATTCCTGCCCGAAGCACAATCTCTATGGAGATTTGCTTGATCAATAACCGATAAAAGATTGCACTTATTCCAGTATAAATGCCTTTGTCCTTGGCTTAAAAATATTGCACTCCATGCTTTAGAATGGCTTATGCTTTTTTTTATATAATCTGAGACCGCACACTACCAATATGAATGTTTTTGGTAGTTGTTCTGACCACAAAACCACAAGCTATTCTAATTCCACCTCCAACGTGAATTCACGTCGTGGTTTTAATAAAGCCTTCTTTTAAACTGTGGTCTTAGTTTAGTTCACAGGGTGAACAGCACTTCACGTTCTTTTTAAAGTAATAATTTTTATTGGAAATTTCAAAACAGAAAGATAAAAAGCTAATACGAAGTATGACAAATATAAAAAAAAGAAAAGGTAAAAGTAAAAAATAGAGAGAGAAAAAGGTAGAAGAGAAAAAGAAATAATAGATAGATGGATGGGTGGGTGGGTAGATAGATATTATATATAAATATAAAAAGAAAATTTAAAAATCCATAAGGATGTTTGGAGAATTCAGAGGGCTAATATATATAGCCTCTGTCTGTAACTCTAAAGCATTGTTTCTCAACCTTGGCTACTTGAAGATGTCTGGACTTCAATTCCCAGAATTCCCCAGCCAGCGAATGCTGGCTGGGGAATTCTGGGAGTTGAAGTCCAGACATCTTCAAGTTGCCAAAGTTGAGAAACACTGCTCTAAAGTAACTGTGTGTTTTCATTGGATCATATAGTAGCTGTAGAGAATAGCTGTGCGATTTTGGGAAAATACAAGAATACTGTAAAGATTTCCAGACAATTATTGTAACAGTGGCACTTATCTACTCTTCTATGAATTACATGCTTAGAAACCCCTCCCCCCTTACCCCTCTACAATAACAATTACTATTATTTTCAGGGTGTGTTGTTATAAGCGTTTCCTGTCATTAAAAAGTAGATTATAGTTTTGAGAATTAGTAAATTTCATATAGCTTTTTATTTTTTTGCCCTCAAAATAAATTAGCCAAGCTAATATGTAAAATGGGACAGGACTTACAACTATCAACTGAAATAGATTCTTCCCCCGCCCCCCCCAGCCAAATATTACTGCTTATTTTTGACTACAGAGATCTGGAGAGCAAAATAAATCACTGAGACAGAGCTGTAACTCAAGCTTTTCCAACTGAAAAGTTACAAATCTGTCTGCGATCATCAAAAATGTGTTATTACATGAAGTGAGTCAACAAACTAAAACATTAGCTGTAAATACTACTGTATTATTGTATTCATCTAAGTAAACCAACATGATAATATTGTAATTCCTAGTTTTCTTAGGAAGTACTCACTTTCACCTTTTAAAATTAATACTTGATTTCATTTTTCTTTTGCAGCCTTTAAACCAACACGTATAATCTAATGCAACAGTCCCAAACCTTTATAGCTCGATGGACTGGTGGTGGGGAGGGAGGGAGGGGATAGTTCCACATATGGTGTTGGCAAGGTTGCACATGCATGTAACTCCATTTGTGCAAGCAGTGTGCACACGTTCATTTATCAACATTCAATTATGAATGTTGGTGTAATTTTTAAACTGTTGTATTGTCTTATTTATCCCCCCTCCCTTTTTATTTTAAGCCTCCCGGGTCCTCCGGGAGTGGGCGGCATACAAAACTACTAAACTACTAAACTACTACTACTACTACGTGCCCACTGCTCGCACAAGTGGGGATGTGTGTGTCCATGTGCTCGTCCGCCATAGGCCGCAGTCCAGAGGTTGGGTACCCCTGAGCCAATGCATGTATAATACAGTTCATGTACATTTTAATGAAGGATATTATTAATAGGCTGTAAGAAAATTCAAAATCATGATTTGCTTCTCCTTTTCTCTCTCTCTCTCTCCCTCTTTGCTTATCACTTCTTTTCATAAGGTAGGTGACATGATTAGAAGTTAGATAGGAAAGGAAGGAAACATTTTTTAATAAAGGGTGACATGATTAAAAGCTATAATAAGTGATAGAAATAAGAGGGGAATATTAGTGTAAAAATTTTAAATAATTAAATGGAAGTGATAATAAGAGAAAATGTGGAACAATTGAACAATGATAGATTGTAACCTGATATAAACATGTATTATTAGAAATACATAAGTTGACTAAATGTAACAATTGTGATTAACATTCTTAGTTTTATTTGGATTAGAATGTATGACACCCAGGTGCAACAATGTTCACACATTGATTTGATACATTTATAAAAAATAAATAAATTTTTTTTTAAAAAAAAAGAAAATTCAGAATCAGGAGTTAAGGGGACACATTCTTTTATCAATCCGTGTCTATTAGCAGGGAGCCAGAAGGGATTAAGATGGACGAAACAAAAAAAGAAGATCTCTGCAAATATTTTTGCTGGGTCTATTGACCTGAAATCAGTGATCAGTGATACAAGCCAAGTCTGCAGAAGACATGAGATTATTCCAAAGTAATAAAAGCCTAAGCAAATCATAGGTGTACTCAGAAGAACAAAGAGTAGCAACGCCTCGGATTAGATCAGTCGTAATTTGTTACATTTATGCATTTACCCACATGGAAAGCCAATTTTCTGTAATCTAGGAAGTAAATAAATTGTAAACCTCAAAGCTTGGCAGAAAACAGGTAATTTTACTTAACAGAGAAATGCAACGGTTACATTCATAGCTTTGTAGTATCAGAATTTGTCTGGTGACTGAAGCCAACAAGTTTAGAAAACTTGCGTATTGCATCAAAATCACTAAACAGTGCAAGTACAAAAAACAGAGGGTCAGCCAGCCAATATTTTATATACAAAAGCAATAGAATTCTGGTTGCCTGACCTTGAAAAAGGCTGCTGTGGAATCAGCAGAAGTAAAAAGCAATGAAAGAAGTCTCTGAACTGGCACCTTCTCTTCCCTCCAAGTCTGCAGAACTAAAAACTTTACTGCACAGGCTGAGAACTGTGGTCAAAAGGATGGGGAATAGGGTGGAGGGACATCAGGCTGGGGAAGACCCAGACTAAGGGCTAAGGTGGCGATTGAGCCATGGTGGCGCAGTGGTTAAGAGTGCAGTACTGCTTGCTACTTCTGCTGACTGCCAGCTACCTGCAATTTGGCAGTTCAAATCTCAGCCGGCTCAAGGTTGACTCTGCCTTCCATCCTTCCGAGGTGGGTAAAATGAGGACCCAGATTGTTTGGGGGCAAGAGACTGACTCTGTAAACTGCTTAGAGAAGGCTGTAAAGCACTGTGAAGCGATATGTAAGTCTAAGCGCTATTGCTATTCCTTCTGGCCCAGGAAAAAAAAACTTAATTAATGAGGTGACATTGTGATTTTCTTTCAAGATTTTGAACAACGTGAAAAGTGATACAGTTTTCCATCTTGAACCCTAGAATTCAATGCTTAATTAAGAATAGACCTGGAGGATAAACAAGTACCTTTTCAGATTAAATTCTGCACAATTTGCTAGATTTTGTTATCATACCATGACAATAGTTACCAATGCTGATGCTTGGTTTACTTTCATGAATAATTTGATCAATAGCTATTTACCATAATGGCAATTGGGTCTTTACATTTTATTTTCTTTAGTATTAAATACACACACACAAAAAACCCATAACGAGGCTGTTGGCTTCAAACTCTCCATGTTGGATTAGATGGGACTTTTATAGCAGACCAATTCTTATGCAGTTTTATTCAGACCTGGTTTTGAATTAGAAACACAGCCAGAAAAGGTTATATAAAAAACCCCAAATTACTCTCCCAAATCACACCCCCTGTTCCCCTTTCAAAGGCAAAGAAATCCTCCTACGCCAAGACTTACCATCTACATCATCTTCACATAGAGCACCCATCTTTGTGGGAGATGGCACTCCAGGAAATATTCAAGATATACATGAGAGAGGCATTTCCTTTATTCATATATAAACAGCAATATGTCATTTGCTCCAAACCTTTATACTCAAAGAAGGGAAGCAATAACAGACTTTCTGGGACAATTTGTTGAATTGTTGACCCCACAAAAAAATTCTGCATTTGTTCCTATCACAAATAGTCAGGCAGACTTTGGATATAAAATCTAGCCGCCCTTTTCTGAAGAGCAGTGATGAAGCATGTGGTCATTCAAATGAAGTCATCTCGCCATGGCGTATGCAAAGCTGTTTAATGAGCAAGTTAGCATCATGGGTACCCTTCGGTAGGCTCTCAATGTAGCTGTTACACTGAAACACCATGCGCTACTCTTTATGGCAGAGGGGGTTATGTTTCATGCTGCTGGACTCCTTCTCCTCCCACAACAGGAATCCAGCCATTAGTAACAAAGGCAAGGGTGGGGGGCTGGTTTTCATGCAGGACTAGTTCATTATGTAACAAACAGAAGTGAGGAGAAGGAAATGGAGACCAAGGGCATCTTTGCCATTCTCTAGAGTGAAAGGAGTTCTCTGACAGCTTACCGGTTTCACGTAAGCTGCATTAAAGCAGTTAAAATCCTAGGTAAATAGTATTGTATAAAAGGGGACCAAAAAAAGGGAATGAAAATATGGTCAGATTCTGCTAAAAGAAACGCTGGGAAACCAATCATTACTTTGAACAAATGGTTCAAATGCTGCAGATGGGTTTGCGATTGGGCAACGGTTCAGGGCATCGACAGCTAATTTCTAACGTTCACCTTGCCTAGAAAATCCTTGAATCTAAACCTATCTTCCAAATGCTCTCTGGTTGATCGTTTCACACTGTTTAAGGGTCTGCTGTGTTAGGTCGTTCTGAGCATGGCTGCCCACCCTGGCTAACACAGCCTGCTCCTGGTTTCCATTTCCTGCTGCGTGTGAGTGTCATGTCAGAGAGATGGTGGTATATGGCGCCTTACTGTACTTCTCCTCCTTGCATCTCTGTAGGATCTCTAAGCTCCTCTGATGAACTGGGTGATGGAGAAAGCTAAAACTATCCACATTTTTCAAAACAGCATCATCATGCCCTTTGGGAAGCAAAACAAAAACATGGAGAAAAGAGAAAGATTACATAAGCAGAGAACCAAGGAAGAGTCAAGAACAAGCGTGGACAATGCCTGACTGACACAGGGGGTTTCCAAACTCACGGCCCCATTCTGCCCGCTCACTGTTTCAAGGAGTTCTGGTGGATGGACAAAGTGTGTTATTTATTGAAGAAATGTAAAGTAAACCCTAGATAAGGGGTGTCCAACCTGGGCAACTTTAGTGCCTGTGGACTTCAACTCCCAGAATTCCCCAGCCAGCATAGAATTCTGGGAGTTGAAGTCCACAAAAGTTGTCAAGGTTGGTAACCCCTGCCCTAGAATCTTTCATGTATAATTTAAGTACAGAAAAGGTAGCTAGAATGGCTTAGGCAGTTTTCGTTAACTACAAACAACACTGAAAGTGCTGCAGATTATAATGTGCATTTTGTTAAAGCTTAATATCCCTACTGTTTTAATCAAATATGTGTCTATCATATATCCTGATGCTTAATAGGGGTTGATTAGCTCAGATATAAATGCCTCCATTTCTGGTGATCAAAACCAATTCTGCATTTCCGCAGTGCTCCTTAACGCATGGAACTTTTAGTCACCACTTCCAATTCCAGATTAATCTGCTCATTCTTGACTTGCAAGAATCATATTCAATGAGCTTAGCATTCTATACTGGAAAGGTCACATTTTGCAACGGAGATATAAACTGTGAGGCCAATTTAAGCTGTGTGCCTTATCTGCAAGAAATCCTTCAGGTAGGACTCAAAAGGAGAGCCAATGCAGGCTGGGAAAAGTAGACCAAACGGTAGCCAGGGAAACAAAAGACTGAGCTTCCTCCAGTACAGCTAATATAAGACTGGCTTTTCAAATTGAAGTATATAATTCTCACGCATCTAAGGAGCAAAGCAAAAAGGGTTCCAACAGTGCAGGTGCTGTGCCTGTTATGAACTTTGGAGGCGTTGATGTTGGCTATCTTGAACTCTACAAAGCAAGATATGGGTTGCCTTGAGTCTGTCTTGACAACCCCCTAGCTTTCTTGACAACGTTTTTGGAATTGGTTTGCCATTATTACCCTCTTCTAGGGGCTGAGACAGAGAGACTAGCACTGGCCCAAAGTCATCCAGCTAGTTTTGTGTCTAAGGCAGGACTAGTACTCAAGAGATCCCTGGTTTCTAGCCATGTATTTTCAATCACTACACCAAACTGGCTCTTTCTGACATAATTATTGTAAATTTGTCCTGTATGTTTGCGAGATTATGTATTTCAAGATATCCCTCTTTAATTAATACCAATTGGAAATGGCAACTGATGGCACAAATTCCAACAGTTTTCTTTTTCTTGGTTAAATCACTGGCCGGATTCACACTTTAAGTGACAAACTATAAAGGGTAGAATACATAACGCAATAAAGCCAGAAACAGCCATTTATGGTGTAGCGTGGACATAAATTCAGCTGTTGTGTCTTTGTAATGGAATAGATCTGTACTGGCAGTGGAGCAGCACAAAAAAAGCCCAGAAGAGAAAGACAAACCAAATACCAAAGACAATAGTTGGCAACATGATATTGACAAAACGCTGAAGACAAAAGATTTAAAAAGAATATGATTCTAGATCAGAGACATCCCAGGAGTGCTAATCATGTCCAAACCTGTGATTTTTAAAAAAAAATATTATAATGATAAATCTTGAAAGTTGGTGATTATGGAATTGATCATCTGATATTCATCTTGTAAATTTGACTCTCTTATTAGAGAAATTATCATTAGATTTTCATGGATTGTTTCTTACTGAAAGTTTGAATAGAAAAGAATGTGGAAAAAATTACCTTTAGCTATCAAGGCACAACCTGCCAATATAATATACAATATTATTTACAAACTCAGTGGATTAAGCACATTGCTGACAATAACATATGGCTGATTCTATAATCTCAGATTTTACCATAAATGCACATATAGAAAAAGGCTACTATGAGAACACAAGTACTTCAGAAGCAGCATTGCAAATGAATATTAATATTTCAACCCAAATCTGTTTTCACAACTGCACATTGAACAGCAACAAGAATAACACGAAAACCAGACATGGGCATGAGATACTTCCCATCTGTGGTCTGAATTACCTTAGGTAGATTTTAGAGGAGAATTCAAAAAAGTCTTGAGGCAATCTTTTAACCTTGAGACAATGTACCGTATTTTTCAGACTATCGGATGCACCTTAGTTTTGGGGGAGGAAAATAAGGAAAAAAATCTGCCTCTGCCTACTAGCATCCATGGTATTCATCTGGCTAGCATCCTGTCAGTGTGTGAGAGAGTTGAGGGCTGTTTGGAAACAAACAGTATTTGCTGTATGAACAACAAGGAAGGAGACAGCAAGGAGCCTGGGCGTGGCTTGTTCTGTACTAAAGCTGTATGCTGTGCTGATATCTGAATGTAAAACTGAAAGTGAAACTTCTCTCCTGTGCTGAACTACCACATTGGAAAACCTGCTTTTGGTATTGTATATTAATGTGTTATATTATGTATAAAGAGAAGCTATTGAATCCTGCTGAATCAGTTACTTGTGTGTGCTTTCTGAGTTTGCTGCTGCAAACTCTGACACGTCCTTGCAGCAAATAGCGAACTGCCCAGTCAGCTTCAGCACATTATTGCATGCAGATTCAGCATGAGCAGCTGATTGGCGGGTGGATCGGCCTCCCGGAATACCCCCCGTCAGCTGTTCCAGGCTGCAGGGATTGCCACAGAACATCGCTCCTCCGTGTCTCACGTTTTTGGCTACATTCGGTGTATAAGACACACCCAAATTTTCATCCTCTTTATTTGGGGGGGGGGGGAGTGCATCTTATACTCTGAAAAATACGGTATATCAATTCACACAATCTAAAACCAGATATGCACCTTTTGTGAAGGAGGGGGAAGAGGAGAAATGTACAGTAAAAACAGCATATAGATTGTTCATATTGAAGGGTCAGAGGCAAGAACTGAAATCAAGTTATCTCAACTGTGCTCAGACCCCCTCAGATGAACTTGATAAACAGATTCAATTTTATTTATTCACATAACTTCTATCAGTAACCAGACTTGGACTATAAAATACAGGCAATTCTCGACTAATAGATACCAATTGCCAAGCGCCCGAATTTTGATCACCTGACCATGGGGATGCTGGAATGTTCCTGCGAAAACCAGTCATAAGTCACTTTTTTTCAGAGGCATTGTAACTTTAAACAAATGTCACTGAACAAATGGTTGTAAGCCAAGGACTGCCTGAAATTTCTTTAAATACTAGATGGGAGTGAGATACTATCAAGTATTATGCACTTATGTTAACATTTCTGTACATGGGCAATGATGTGTGTTTGTGTTTGTGTGAGTGTGTGTGTGTGTGTGTGTGTGTGTGTGTGTGTGTGTATAGGCTGTATACAAAACCATATATTTCAAGAGCTGCTGGTTCGGGGTGGGGGAACCCTGCAGAAGGGCTATTTTTAACGGAGAAGATGCATACACATCGTTATGAATTCCTTTACATTTCCATACACATTTATAGAATATCCACTTAAAAATCCGATTCCAAAAAGATGGATTCTAGAAGGAAGAGAATTTTCAGGCAAGTAACAGGCAAGGAAAGCATTAGGAAAAAAAAAAGAATTCTTTGCCTCTTCTGTATTAATAACTACCTCCTTTCTAAAATTATTTTTCTTTCCTAAAGCCACTTTCAACAGTATATATTTTGGCATTAAATTTTATATATAAAGATAAAAAAAGAAGCTTTTAGCATAAGAAAACCACAGGAGAGGAGCACAACTGCCAAGTTCCTCTGTGATCAAGACAATAATTACTAAGCGACAATTCGCATTTTAAAGAGCACATCCAGTATTTTTTCCTTATGAAACACAGTATCTATTCACTGGAACTCTGAATCTAACCAGGCCTATTTCCCTGTATTGCGTCATTAGATAAAATCAGAACAAACTTTATTGTAACCAGTGACCAGTGCCAAAAAGAAAAAGAAAACATGAGAAAAGAAAAAAAAAGTCTACCATGAAACTTATATCCTTTTTTTGCTACTTTACATCCCTTCGTTTGGTGCATGTGGCAATAAGGGGAAAAAATGAAATAGAGGAAATCAATAACTTTTGTGGCATACAATATTTAGCAAGGAATTTGCCTTGCTAAACCTGCAGATGGCTTGATTGATTCCGTATGGCTTCAAAGCAAAACCTTGCAACTTATGCTGAAATATCTGCATTCATTAACAACAGATGAAGGCAGCATCCTCTGAACTCGTGTCAAAAATAAGAATTTGGAATTAATTGGCTAGGGAATCGTTAGTACCTTCCACTAATGAGAGGCCAGGATGGGAGACCTGGGCCAACTCTTGAAAGTCCCGAGAATCAGGTTTTGTTTCTCATATGACCTTTTTCTTACCACAATTCTTGTTAAGAGAACACAGCTATAAAACATGAATGCCATTACTTGTAAGGAAGAAACTCAATGATGCTACTTGGACCCACACCAAGAAATTTGGGTCAGTTGCAGTTTCACAACCACAAAAAAGCTACATTTCCTGTACATATTTAGAGAGAGAAAGTGCACATGGATATTTATCCAGATGAGAAAGTAGAGCTAAGCCCTTATTCTTGATTTTTGAGCTCACAGACCCCTCTGCCACAAAGCTTTCCTGGAACAATGGTTTCTTAAACATGACTGGCAAACAACACATGCTTGCAAGAACTGAAACTTATGAAAAAGAACACCAGATGTTCATGCAAGAAGGTATTTACTCTGTTTCTAAACTAACAGCTGCTAGACTTTATGACATACATTTATAAGCATACTTGCAAAATTTGTATTCTATGAAGTTTATGGAAATGCCAAAGATTTATTTGAAACATTCTCTTTTGTGTAAATGTTTACATATTCTAACCGTATAACGCAAAGGGATCTCTGTGCATCCTGTGTGATCCTCTCCAAATGCCAATTTTTAAAACAAATACGTTTATTTCAAACTAGATGTCAGCTTTGAAAAGAAAGAAAAAACAATTTGCCTACATAGGATAAAATACCATTTGAACCTTAAGGAAACCATCCTAAATTATTGACAAAGTTCATCTTTCTCACCCGCATTCATCTTTCTCACCCGCATTCATCTAATCAAAATCTTTTGTCTATTTGGGGCTACAAATTGGCTTTTTAAAGAGTACAAATCGAGTTTTCTAGAAAGCTTGAGAAAGGGTGTAGCTATACTCAAGCTCACAGTAGCCAGCAAACCTTCTAGGAAATAGTAAACAAACAATGGGTACAAACAAAACAAACAATTGGCTGTTCTAATAGTAATAAATAAACAATAAATTCAAGCCAACTAACACCCTAATGGATTAAATCTAACACATCACTTATTCAAGAGCTTAAAAAGTCCTCTGCACATTGTACTGCCAACAAACAGAAAAATGACACTCAAAAATCACCCATAATATTTACGATCTTAAATTTTTATACTTTTATAACCCGTTTATCTTTTATTTTTCTTATGCCAAAATCTTTGGAATCTTTTAAACATATATTTTAAAGATTCTTTTGGCTACTTCTTAAAGAGGCAGACTGGAGAACAGAAGCTGTTAAAAAAAAATGCAGCATCTAAAAAGGATCCAAGGAGGATAGCCTCTTTTGAGGCCAGAGTACAGTATTTATTTATTAAATTTATACGCGTCCCATCTTGTTTGACACGTACCAGTTTTCTTCTCAATGTAGTTCTGCCCAGCAGCTCTAAAGGCAACCACAGCTCTGAAGAACGCTCTCAGGACCGCCCAGCGAAACACCGAAACGGGATCAATCCCTATCATTCCACAGATAAAGGCACTCTTGCTGCTCCTAAGGAGAGCAACAATGTCAGGTCGCATATGATCTGTATTTTTCTCCCGGAAGTCCTGATGAGAAAGAAGAAGAGAAGCAGAGCTTAGCATTGGTCTTTCCTTAACTATTTTATATAGTATTTTCAGAACATTAAAAAAAAAAAAACTTGTTAGTCTATCATACGATCTTGGAATGTTCCACAAGTCTCCCATCAGAATTGTTCAAATAGTAAACTGGTCTGATCTTGCCTGATTTTTTTTTAACACTTAGAATTGGAAGAGATAATTCAGGTCACTGAATTAAATTGTCTACTTTATCCTGAAATCTGCTTTAAAGCTTTACAACAGATACCTCTTCATCCTCTGCTTGAACATACCCAGTGAAGAGTGGCCTCAAACTGCAAAAGGGGCAGCATGTAAATTTAATAAATAAATAAATAAATAAATAAATAAATAAATAACAGAAACGAAGGAGAGCATCACTTTTCTTAAATGGTGACTCTCGAGATCTAAGCTCATTCAAGATCAGTAGTATTCTCTCTGTATGTCACTATCAAACTCCTGTGTCTTCAACCAACTCTTAGAATTGTTTACTGAGGATAATTAGCGCAATGGTCAAATGCAAGCTTTGCGGGGGGGGGGGGGAAGGTTCAGATTCTGCCATCTCTGGACTGGAAGAAGGATGTATGCTCTTGCTACTGCAGATAGGTTCAACTAAGACCCTAGATTTTCTAGCCGTATCTTCCCATGCTCACATTCTAATATGGAGCAGTCTCGTTCAAATCAATAAAAATAAGGACATGCAATCAAATATAGTGTGAAACAGGAAATAAAGTAGAACAGTGTTTCTCAACCTTGGATCACTTTTAAGATGTGTGTATTTCAACTCCCAGCTGGAGGATTCTGGGAGCTGAAGTCCTCATTTTTGGCTTAAAGTGACCAAGGTTGAGAAATACTGAAGTAGGAGAAAGACAAGGGATATTGAATAAAGTGTATTTTATACATTTCATGTATTAGCCAAGGGAATTAATATATATTTTAAAAATAAATTGTTGAATTTATTGAAGTTACAGACCTTCACACCATATTTAACTTTCCCGGCATAGTGTTTTATGATAAAAGCAGGTTCCATTACAGCAGGAAATTCTATGTAGAGATTCCCTTCATGCTGACGCTTAAACTTGTCTAGTAACGTCTGATTGTTTGCTTGTGGGAAACTAAAATAAAAGAGGAACATTAATGTTTTTTGATGATACATAATCAAAATCATAACTGTCATAAAAAAGGTGTGTTCTTCTGAAAGTTCAAAGTTCAGATACTCTATTCTGATCTTAAATTAATTAGCATTTTGGAAAAATGTTATTTACAACACTACGCTAAATAATGTTTTTTTTATACAGAGTAACATGTTCTTAATGAATTAAACTAATTTTATTCCCAAATCTAACTAGGAAATATAATTTTTCCATGAGAAAAAACAAGAAAATGATTCCAAAATAACATCACTTCAGCCACTGCACAGTGGTCTTCTAATACTTGGAGTCAACTTTGTAGACATTTATATGAATTGAACACAATTTTATTATAAAGAAAAAAAATCCCTGAAGCCCCTCACTTCTAACAAGTGAAAAAAATAATTCATTTATTCAAACTTTTTTCCCAACTTATTGATTTTTAACTATGTATGTATTTTCCCGGGGGGGGGGGGGGGGGCTCATTTGCCAGTAGTCCTCACCAGTGTTTCTCAATCTTGGCAATTTTAAGATGTGAGGATTTCATTTCCCAGAATTCTCCAGTCGATGTCTTAAAGTAGCCCAGGGTGAGAAACACTAGTCTATACCCATAACCTCATAAATGTCCCACTCCAACCAGCCGTGATATTCAGAGGTCTTTATAGACTTGACATGGGGGAGGGGAGAGAGAATCTACATTAGTTTCATCTCTGGTTCTATCAAGGAAAAAGAGTCAAATCCAATAGGCAAATGATGTTTAAGTTTCACAAAGGAGAGGTGAATTGTTACTTATTTAATTACTGAATTTACGTTGTTTATGGCATTTATTTATTTTTTTATCTCCAGCACAAACATAGCAAGGCCAATCCTTGGATGTCATGTATTTTGAGTCAATGTAGGAAATGGCAAGTCTATTTCACCTTGGCAATTATATGTAGTTGAAAAAAATCCAGCTCAACAAGTTATAACCTAGTTCTAGAAGCAAACCGGTACCCAGAGGTGAAACAATTCACGTTAAAACGTGTTTGTCGTAGCTCTGAACTGTCCTATACAGAGAAACAAATGGTCCTGCTCTCACCCCACACAATTAGTCTGATCACATGACTCTGCCTGCCTTACCACCTTTCAGAAGATTTCTTATTTTATTTTCTCCTTTTATATTGTTACTCACTCCCAACATCTGACAACTAAAAAGCTGGGAGGGAGCAGACTCACTTGCTTTCTTCATCCAGTAGATGGAGCAAACCCGTGGGCTTTTTACTGATGAGGTTTATACAGCCAGAGTTGTCGATATAGTCTATGTTATGCCAGCTGATGCCTTCTAGTCTGTATTCCTCCTGGTGTTTGGGGAAAAACAAATGAAGTCTAAAATCCAAGCAACTGTAAACAAACTAGTGACAGACCTTTTAACACCCCCCCCCCCCCGATCACATAAATTCGGATCTGGTATTGGAAGCCCTCCTCGTCTATTCATGTATCTTCCTTTCATTGTCTGACCCATATTTCTATATCACTGCAGACGATAGGTTAACTGCTGCTACATCGTGATTTAGTCAATAGACTAAATTGGCCATGTGTCCAGTTTGGCAACTTTTAAGACCAGTGAACTTCAACTGCTGGCTGGGGAATTCTGGGAGTTGAAGTCTATGAGACTTAAAGTTGGTGACATTGGACATTAATCCCTCTCTCATTGGGTAGCTCATCATGTGGAAAAGTTCCCATCGGGAAGCTCTTGGCTACTCCAAATGAAAGCCTTTTGGATTTCAAGTTGCCCACCCATATTCTATGCAGGGAAAAATCGGGCCACATGCTTTTAAGACTGAGCAGGCCTCATATTTGAAGGCCATTCAATGATATTACTGTAGCATGTGCTATTGACTTTGATGCCAAGCAGAAGATGTGGAAAATACTTTCTTGGCCCGGTTATAGGAATTTCTGGGAGGAGAGACATAAAAATAATGTATTCCTATGTCAAGGTAGCCAGGAAATAGGAATCTTGGAATGTATTTTAATGCAGTTGGGCTATTATAATATAACCCTGAAAGCCTATCACAGATCCACTTACTTCAAGCTTATATCTAACACAATCAAGATAGATCTGTTTTAAATCTTTTTCTCACTGTTTCTTTTTTTTTTTTTCAGGACTCAAAAGATCCTTTCTGTATTGGCTTGGCGTTCTCCTCCTCCTTCTCTGAGTCAACCCGACATTCCTTCATATAATGGAAGACATTTAATTATGCGGGCATCTTTTGGAAAACTAACTTGCCCAAGAATGCAAGGTCCCACATGTCCCTTAGTGGTCTTGCTGACTGTTTCATTTTCCAAAGGGCTGAAGAAACAAAAGATAAAGGATCTCCTAAGTCTGATCCTAACTGAGATGAGCTATTGAAAAAGGAAAACGCACTAGGAACGTTGAGATCAAGTGACTGTATCATCTTGAGGTTCAAGTTGTTACAGTAAAAGGAAGGGGAATATAGTTACTTTACATTATGGGAACAATCATTTTCCCAAGCTTACTTGCTCCAGTTTAAAGATATGTTGGTTAAAATAGTGCTGTAAACGTTCATTTGCAAAATTAATGCAAAATTGTTCAAAGCTATTACTTTCATAATCTTCAAAACCAAAAATATCAAGTACTCCAATGGACAAAGTCTGCAAGACAAAAAGAAAGGGAAAGAAAACAGATACACTGCATTTAATACTTGAACTTGATTGATTGATTGATTGATTACATTTATATGC